CTTGAAAAAAAAAAAAAAAAGTTAGTTTCCGGTAAGTCCCCAAAAGCCTCTGCCGCTGCCAAGAGACACCACGGCCGCGTCTCAAAACACAGCGAGCTGCCTATCTATACAGCCTCGGAGCGCCATGAATTCCACTCACAAACAGTGCTTTGACGGACGTAGCGCGCGAGGTCTAGAACGACTTTCCAGTTAAAAGACTTTTGAATGAAATTTGTATAGATCTATTTTGGGGGATCTCACGCTGTCTCTCTCTGCCTCTGACATGTCAACTATGTTAAATATGTTGTATACACAGCACAAAGTCTTTTGAGATAAATTAGTTAGATTTAAATCTGCAATGACCTGATTAATGACAGCATTTATGTTTTGACAGTGTTCCGTCCTGAAATGAATGAAAAAGTGCTCGAGCTGCCTACTGTTGCCATGGTTGCCTCCGAGGTCAAGCAGTTTTTGTGTAGGCCTACAGCCTTTTCCCCTCACAATTCTTAATTATTTCCTCACAATTCCGAAAGTCAGAACTGCAAAGTAAAATCTCAGAATTCCGAGAAAAGTCAGAATTGTGAAATGTAAATTCAGAATTTTTGGGAAAAAGTCAGAACTGCGACATGTAAACTCAGAATTCTGAGGGACAAAAGTCAAAATTGCGAGATGTAAACTCAGAATTGCAAAAAAAAACAATAATTCTGAGTGGAAAAAAGTCGGGATTCTGAGTTTACATCTCGCAATTCTGACTTTTATATAAGCACCAAATTGCAAGATATAAACTTGTGGAAGACTCATCACTTTTTTGTGTGTGTGGCAGAAACGGGCTTCCATAGAAAACAGTATTAAAGTAAATATGAATTTGTATGTTTAAAAAACACATACGTAGGCCTACTTTTAAGACTCTCCCATTTGATTCCTAAAACTCATAATTCGTAGCCTGACTACTTGTTAAGCTAATAAAAATACTGTCTTGGAAGCTCTCTAACTCAGACGTCAGATTTGACAAGGTTGCTGGAGGAAACGTCTTTTGTACCACATCAGTCAGCTAATGAAGTAAATGTTATTAGAAATGTATATATGTTTTCATTTGCATAAAGGGACAGTTCACCCAAAAATGCAAATTCTGTCATCATTTACTCACCCTGAAGTTGTTCCAAACCTGTATAATTTTCTTTCTTCTGTTTAGCACAAAAGAAAATATTTTGAAGCAGTCAATGGCTACCGTCAACTGTTGGGTTACCAACATTCTTCAAAATCTTCTTTTGCTTTCAACTGTGAGTAAATGATGACGGAATGTGCATTTTTGGGTGAACTATCCCTTTAATACCTTCCATTTAAAGTCAGATTTCTTGAGATTAGGGTATCTATGAAAAAAAAAAGACAAATAACAAAACAAGTGTTAGAGGTAACAAAAAAAAAGTGTCAATAAAACTCTCACGAAGCATAAATGTGTTTGCATGATGCAAATTCGAAGTAAACTAGCACAACTAGTGCAAACTACATATGCTATGCAAGTATAAATATAACTATGCAACACTATACAAGTAGAAAAAAAGTGGAAAAATAGGCCTATATATAATAGTTACATATATATGTAAAATAGTTTGTGTTTAGTTTATTAATAAAACACTGATAGATTTTGCATGATGCACATATGAAGTAAACAAGCTCAGGTAAAGTATAAAAAAACTTAATTTAGATTACTCCATGATTGCACAAGCAGGCCAAAGGATATATCTGCAGAGCTGTTGCACTTCCTGGGTGTGTGGTGCACATCAGCGTATGTCAGCTGAACAGGAAGAGTATGCAACCAGTTTCCTTATAATCACACATCACAAACACAATGACAGGTGATGTGAATTAGTACCTTTTAAGGAAGGTTGTGACCCCAGTGAGCACTAGAAATTTTGATGTGGCAACCAGCATTTTTCACTTACCCACTTCATCTGCTGTTTATAATGACGACCACTCGGTTTCTGTTTCGCGTATGCCTGAGGAGATGATCAAATAAAATTGTCAGTTTATTATTTTTGTCTTGACCTTTTTACAAGGTATTAATTTAGAGCCACCATTTTCACCCATCGCTTAGAAGTCACTTTCTGCTTTCCAAACGTCATCAAACCAAATTGGCCTTCACACGCCTGTCACACTATCTTTTGTGATACTCCTAAGTAGCTGCAAGTATACATTTAAAAATTTGCAAGCTATGTAGCATTCTGTCTGCAACATCAGAAACGTAAGCTTGCTCAAATCAAACTAAATGAAATATTTACTTATTAACTTCTTATAAACTATGCATTTTAACATGATTGCCTACATTTATGGATTGACACCTTTTATGCAACTCGAGGCTTATTCACACCAAGAGCAAAAGAAAAAACAAAGCATATGATGATAATGTATTCAATAATAATAATAAACTATTATTGTTGTTGTTGCTATTATTATTATCTTCAGCTATTGTTCCATTAGAGAAATAATATTTTAATATTTAATAAGTATAATAATAATAAACAATTATTATTGCAACACATAATTATTATTATATATTTGTAATCACAGCGAACCTTCCTTTATATATTATAGAAATAAAGTACTTTAATATATGTTTTTTGAACATTAAAGCATGTCAACATATTCTGTTGCACCAAATACACAAAATAATGATCTTTAAAAAAGCATCATATGACCCCTTTAATATTAATAAACAAATAAACATCATTATATTGCTATTATTATTATAACAATTATTACAAACAATGCAACATTAATAGTAACTGAATTATTACTACAGCACTTTCTATTATATATGTAAGGGATAATGTACATCCAGCCGGTTGTTATCTCAGAATAAACCCCGACAGGGTGATCAGGGTGATACAAGATCAGTCATGTATCAGCCTGAAGGGGTTTATTCTGAGATAACAACCGGCTGGATGTACATTATCCTGCTTATTACATGGCTAAAAAGATTTGTTTTTACCATATATGTTGAAATTAATGCTGAAGTCTTCCATTGTAACACGCGGTGGTTAAGTGTTTTCAGTCACAAGATGGCGCCAGACAGTCAACGATAGCGGAGTGACTCGTTAAGCATACAAGTAGTACCGGTCAAGATAACTCGTAGTACCCGGATGAGCGGTGTGTTATTCAATTTGGCGGTTGTTATCTGGGAATAACATACCGCTGGATGGCGCGATTGACCAATCAGAATCAAGTTTTCCACAGAGCCGTGTAATAATACAGAATAAATAAGTGTTTTAATATTTAGAATAGTATATTTGTCACTTCATACCATGTGCATTATTTTACCAACCCTAAAAATAAAAATACATTTTCAAGTTCACCCTGTAATTAACATGCACAAAAATAGCTAATGCTATATATATATAAAAAAAATAATATATATATATATATATATATATGACTAAGTGTTCAAGACCAGCTAGCATCAAATGAAACAATGATTTCATCCAAATACTTTTGAATGAGATTTATTTAAATAGGACATTTTTATAAGAATGGTTACAACACAGGAAAGCCACCATAGATGAACATTTCTCGAAATCAGAGACCGTTCATTTTTAATTAATATATTCACACTTTGGTGAAGAAATCTCATCTGTCAGCACAGGCAACACTGCTGTTCCTCAGTTGTTGTTGTTTTTCCAATGAGGGATTAATAAAACATGAGCACAAACTCCAAGTGCCGATCATGGAGGCCATAAAATGTGACACCAGAATTAGTAGAAGCTGCTGTAAACTACCCTACAAACCCAGTTCAGATGCAAACATGTTTGATGCACTGAGAATGATTACCATGCATTCTAACCGGGTGAAGAAATGACCTACAGAAAGAAAAAATGGTAAAAAAAACAACAGGTGTCACATCTGTTCACATACTGTACTGAGCTCGATGTCTTCTGATATTAGTGTAAACACAGCGCTCATATTTGCCCTATTAGTTTAACAGAAATGGCCAACTTTTTGTTCATAACCGCCAAGCTTGACTATGCAGTGTTTCTGTTCTATCTTCTCCACATAGTGCTTGATAATCAGTACCAGGAAGCCTTGTAACCACTTGGCAGTCATGTAAAGAAACACAACAGTGCTTTCAATATATCATCTGCCTCCTCTCACACTACAAAAGGTGCATACATTTAAAAAGAAAATTAAAAACAGGTAAAAGCATTTGAGACTTTAGATGTTAGTGAGTGAATGTCACTCAAGTTTGCTCTCATGGAACATCTGGTAGTGTGTTTGCTATAACAGCTGTTTTAAAGATAAACGTTCAGCCAAACATCAACTGAGACGAGATGGTTCATAAAAACAAATGAGTGTATGTTCCAGTCGATAGGGAACAGTTTAAGAATTCGTGAGTACGGTTTATAAACTGAGGGGACGGATTGCAAAACCGTCGCCACGGATTGTTAATTTTTTCTCCTACAGGTGACTTCCCGGGCTCCGTAAGATCCAATGGCGTTTTGCCGTCAATTTTATCAAAGCTGCCCAATGTGTCGGATTAAAAAAATTTTGCTTTTTCACATATTTAGTGGAAGGGAAGACTTTCTGGAAATTTAAATGTGGGTTTGTTCACCACACAAAGCAAAGAAGACTTGGAATATAGTGCACAAGTACAGTGTTACTATTGTTAATTAAATCTATTAAAAACCATTTCCGTAAACTGATTTAAGGCTGAAATAAAATGTGAATACTAGATGGAATTTTGCCAAGGCAACTAACTGAAATAAAAGTAGTACAATTATTAAACCTAAAACTGAAATAAAAAAATATTAAAGCTAAACAGAAATATAAAAAAGACAAAAGCACATAAAATTACTAAAATTTAAACTAAAATTAAAATGAAAACTAAAAACAAAAGCTAATTAAAAATACTAATACTATAATAGCAAATAAATAACACTAAAATAACTGCACTGCACAAATTGTACAAGCAGCAGTAGACAATACAATAATTTCATGAATTTAAAAAATAAAATGAAGAAAAAAAACAAGAGACACAATATTGTGATTTTGGATAAATTTCTCACCTATACTTATCCTGAACTTTCTGTTTGATATCTTGCAAAGAATCCTGGGAGATATCTCGCTCTAGATAACCCGAGAGCACCTCTGTAGCGTTCTCCAAATCAGCCTGATTGTTCTGGAAAAAAAACACAGCAGTAAGACATCAGTGTGTTGATTTCTCTGACAACTGTAAACAGTGTAATGCTATGAAAATATAGTTTGAATGTTAGTCCCACCAACAGCAGACAGGTGGAGTGTTTTGGAAACCTGTCCAAAAACAGTCATTATTTTTGCAGCTATAAAACAGTCTAACACATGGGATTGTGCAATAAAAAAAATAAAAAACATGATTTCCCCCTCACCTCGAAGATGATGGACTGGTTGTTCTTTTTGAGGTAGAAGGCGAAGACGTAGGTGAACATTAGCGTGGAGCGACACTGGCACAGCACATCCACGGCCTTCTTCAGGAACTGCACCTCGATCCACGACATGTTGTGCTGCTGCATCTCCTCCATCTTCTGCTTCACCTGCGCATACAACTTGTGCTCGAAGCGCAGACTCTGCATGTGGTTCATGTAGCGGTTGCAGTAGAAGAGGTAGCGCTGCAGGGCTGCACGGGAACTCTGCGACATGGATAAAACACATTCATTCCAAAAGGAACAACAGTTATAGGCCATGGTTTGCTCTGAACAGGGAGAAGTCATGCTTTCCTGCAAGTGCTAATTTGAGTCTCCTTGGATAGATAAAGGATGACATAGAAAATAACCAAAACAATCCAAGGTTTTTATTTAGCACAGTGGCTAGATTAACAAATAATCAGACTTCACCCGATCTAAATATTCCCTCACAGTTTAGTAGTAATGGCTTTATGAATTTCTTCACTGATAAAATAGATAGCATCAGAAATACAATAACAAATGTATATCCTACACAGTCTTGGTAATTCAGCTTCATTCATTGCACCCAAAGAAAAACTGCAGTGCTTTACAACTATAGTACAGGAAGATCCAAATAAAAATAGCAAATGTAGATTCTACAGCGTATAATACTTCCGCTTCATTCATCGCACCAAAAGATAAGCTGCAGTGCTTTACAATTATAGGACAGGAAGAGCTAAATAAACTTATCACTTCATCTAAACCAACAACATGTCTGTTAGATCCTGTACCCACTAAATTATTGAAAGAGTTGTTACCTGTAGCAGAAGAACCGCTTCTCAATATTATTAACTCGTCGTTGTCTTTAGGTCACATCCCAAAACCATTCAAGCTGGCGGTTATTAAGCCTCTTATTAAGAAACCACAACTAGATCCTAGTGAACTGGCAAATTACAGGCCCATCTCAAATCTTCCTTTTATGTCTAAAATTTTAGAAAAAGTTGTGTCTGCTCAATTGCGCTCCTTCCTGCAAAAAATTATATCTATGAAGAATTTCAGCCAGGTTTCAGGCCCCATCATAGCACAGAAACTGCACTTGTTAAAATTACAAATGACTTGCTTCTTGCGTCAGACCAAGGCTGCATCTCAATACTAGTTTTACTTGACCTTAGTGCTGCGTTCGACCCTACAGACTAGGGCTGTCAAAAAAAAAATTTGAATTTCGAATATTCGTTGAATTAAAAAAAAAGAAAAAAATCCACATTCCACAAAAAACGTTGCATTCGAATTTTAGGTCTGCGTCAGCCGTCAGGCAGCCTATCAGTGGCGCATGATTGGTTTTCGGTCCTTTGTATTAAACTATACATACATGCATGGTGCTGTTTTTTTCTAATTGTTTAAGCAACTTTATTAATTATATATGGTTTATAAACATTATTTTAAACATTATGCCCATTTTTTTCAAAGATAGTCGTGTTGTTTTATTACGCTTTGAAGAAACGTGCATAATATTTTGCGCGATGCGCCCTCTTGTGGCCTCAGGAGAGAAGCCAAAAGCTTTTTTTCCCCTAACTGAAATTATGCCTTTTAAATTCGAATATAATTCAAATTTTGATAATATTTAAGTAGAAAATTCGAATTTAGTTTTTCAGTCATTTTGACAGCCCTAATACAGACCACGACATACTCATAGATCGATTACAAAACTATTTATGCTGATGATACTCAACTATATATTTCAACAAGACCAGATGAAACTTCTAAATTATCTAAGCTAACAGAGTGTGTTAAAAATGTAAAAGACTGGATGACCAATAATTTTCTCCTATTAAATTCGGATAAGACATTGCTTATTGATTGATTGCTTAAAGATATTGCTTACTGGACCAAAAAACAGTACACAAAATCTCGTAGATTACAATTTGCATCTAGACGGATGTACTGTTACTTCCTCTACAGTCAAAAATTGTGGTTATATTAGACAGCAGTTTTGAAAATCATATTTCCCATGTAACAAAAACAGCATTCTTCCATCTTAGAAACATTGCCAAGTTACGGAACATGCTACCTGTTTCTGATGCAGAAAAGCTAGTTCATGCATTCATGACCTCTAGACTGGACTATTGTAATGCACTGCTAGCTGGTTTTGCAACGATTTGCATCGTGAAAAGCACTATACAAATAAACTTGAATTGAATTGAATGTGGATGACAGACGTTGGGTCAAATAATGACTTAAAGTACCTCTTGAGCATCTCTGGCTGCCTTGGCATCATCTTCATTGTAGCGATTGCAGTTGTACCTGTAATCAGTGTGATAGGTACATGTTAGTTCAATGTTCCACAAGTATATAAAAACATAAGCATTAATAAGAGGTGAAGCAGACTCACCAAGCAGAGCCGTGAGGTTCCCAAGGGCCGAGACAAACCCAGCAGAACTCTGCTTTACAACTCTGGTTTCGACACACCATGTGATTACAGCCACCATCTTTTTCAATGGTCACATGACACTTGGGACATTCCTGAGAAAAACAGGGATACCCAATTAAATTAAAGGAATATTTTGGGTTACACACAACTTTACTCTTTACTGAGCATCTGTGGCATGCTGCTGATTACACAAGAAAATAAACTTACCCTTCAGCTCATTTAAATTTAAGTATTGTATTGACCAAAATTCACTTTGCAAAGTGAAGATTTGAGAAATTTCTATATCTTCACTCTTTCGTCCTGCATCTCTGTTTGTTACTACAGTCAAATTAATGTAAATGAATTTGTTAAACAAATGGCCAGACCTGTTTAACAAAGCTCCTTTTCTCTCTGGACACAGTATGGGATTAAAGTAGTACAACTTTATCTTCATCACAATAAAATAAACAAATAAATAATAAAAGTGAACCGATTATCTTCATAGATCTCATCTGAGTGTTTTTGGGTCCTTAGTACCTTGGTATTTGCTGCAATCCAGTTGGATGTTTCACTGTCATCATCACACTTCTTTATCCACTTCCTCAACCACTTGAAGAGTAGAAATATTATTAAAGAAAAGGAAAACCTCTCAGGACAAATCTAATCTAATAATATCACTATCAACAATGAAAATAATAAACTAAAATAAATGCATAATGCTAACATGACAATGAGTGCCTAATTAGATGCTAACATACCTTGCATTTTACAGGGTCATGCCAGTTCTCTCCACAATTGAAACTATTTTTTGAGAAAAAAACAAAACCAAAATAAATTAAAGGCCACAAATGAAAATACAGTCATTACTTACTCCCCCTCATGTCGTTCCAATGCAATATGCTGTTATTTTTTCTTACATATTAAAAATAACAGCATACAGCCAACGTTGAGCCAATAATGACAGAACAAACTGCTTATACTAACATAATTTATATTATTGCAGCATTAACATCCACTGAAGCTCTGCACTGCATTCTGCATCAGACTCTTACCAGAACTGTCTCCCGCATTTACAGCGAACTGGTTTGGCATCAGGATACTGAACTTTGATCACATGGTGGCAGTCAGGAGCTGGACACCATCTCAACAGTCTGTTACACTGCAGAAGAGCAAGAGACAGCCCGTGAGAGAGACTACAAAACAGTTCACTGCAGACAGACTGTATTACATACACACCAATATTTACCTAAATATCATATTCATGCCATTCTAAAGCTTAACCATAAAGAAATCAGATGAAATTTCTAGATTTAGCTTCATGTCAGAGTTTACAACCAGATCAGTTAGTATATTTTAAAATCTGTTCCGATTTTGAAAGTCATGTAGTGTATTCCAGCCATTACCCTCAGGTTATCCAAGATGTAGATGAGTTTGTTTCTTCATCAGAATAGATTTGGAGAAATTTAGCATTACATCACTTGCTCACCAATGGATCCTCTGCAGTGAATGGGTGCCGTCAGAATGAGAGTCCAAACAGCTGATAAAAACATCACATGCTGCGTGTTTGTAATAAACTAATTAATCATTAAGGCATTTTAACTTTAAACCATCGCTTCTGGCCAAAATACAAGTCCCCAATCCATAATAATGGATCATTAATAGTGCTGGTCAATTTTGGACTGTTTTCGCTTATAAACTGTGCTTGATATGTGCATATTACTCTCCTGATTCAGACAAAACAATTTTTTTCACTGGAGAAAGCAATTTTATTGATAAGAGTCATACTGTAGCAGGAAGCAACAGTTTAAAGTAAAAAACATCTTGATGAATTTGTTTCTTACAAACACTTTTCGCTTCACAATACGTTCATTGATGGATTGGACTGGTGTGGATTATTGTGATGTTTTTATCAGCTGTTTGGACTCTCATTCTGACGGCACCCATTCACTGCAGAGGATCCATTGGTGAGCAAGTGATGTAATGCTAAATTTCTCCAAATCTGTTCCAGTAAAGAAACAAACTCATCTACATCTTGGATGGCTTTAGGGTGAGTTAATTTTCACCAAATTTCCTTTAAATTATTAATAGATTTATATATAAAAAAAAGTATTGATTCTTTCCAAGTTAAAATTCTCAAATACTAACTGATTTGATATTTTGGTATTTGGTACCTTTATCCCAGCTTATTCATGGAGCAAGCCAGTTGCATTTTAGACACAATTTATGCAACAAAAATGAAGAACGTCTTACCTCTACAAAACTATTTGTGATTAAATGCTGATACTTCAACTTCACTTATATATATAACTGTGTATATATAAATAATAGTATTGACTAAAGTACACTTTCTATATTTTGACTCTTTTGTCCTGCATATCTGTTAATGCCAGTCAAATAAAATGTAAATAAATTTGTTAAACAAATGGCCAGACCTGTTTAACAAAGTTAAACAATGCTCTTTTTTTCTGGAGACAGTATGGGCTTAAAGTAGAATAACTTTCTCTTCATCACAATAATAAATAATAATTTATGCATTTAACAGACGTTTTTATCCAAAGCGACTTACAGTGCATTCAGGCTATACATTTTTTATATATACAATAAATACAATAATCTATACAATAAATAAATAAATAATAAATTATATCAAGTGAACTGATCTTCATAGATCTCATCTGAGTGTTTATGTACATCTTAGTACCTTGGTATTTGCTGCAATCCAGTTGGATGTTTCACTGTCATCATCACACTTCTTTATCCACTTCCTCAACCACTTGAAGAGTAGAAATATGATTAAAGAAAAGGAAAACCTCTCAGGACAAATCTAATCTAGTAATATCAATTTTAACAATGGAAATAATCTAACCTAAAAATGAGTGCCTAATGATAACATGACGATGAGTGCATAATTAGATGCTAACATACCTTGCATTTAACAGGGTCATGCCAGTTCTCTCCACAATTGAAACTATTTATTGAGAAAAACAAAACAAAACAAAAATAAATTAAAGGGAGTCGTTCACACAAAAATGAAAATACTGTCATTACTTACTCCCCCTCATGTCGTTCCAAAGCCATGTGCTGTTATTTTTTTCTTACATATTAAAAATAACAGCACACAGCTGATGTCGAGTCAATAATGACAGAAAAGGGTGCACAGCAGAACAAGCTGCTTATACTAACATCATTTATATTATTGCAGCGTTAACACATGAAGCTAAAGGATGTTGCTGATCCACTGAAGCTCTGCACTGCATTCTGCATCAGACTCTTACCAGAACTGTCTCCCGCATTTACAGCGAACTGGTTTGGCATCAGGATACTGAACTTTGATCACATGGTGGCAGTCAGGAGCTGGACACCATCTCAACAGTCTGTTACACTGCAGAAGAGCAAGAGACAGCCCGTGAGAGAGACTACAAAACAGTTCACTGCAGACAGACTGTATTACATACACACCAATATTTACCTAAATATCATATTCATGCCATTCTAAAGCTTAACCATAAAGAAATCAGATGAAATTTCTAGATTTAGCTTCATGTCAGAGTTTACAACCAGATCAGTTAGTATATTTTAAAATCTGTTCCGATTTTGAAAGTCATGTAGTGTATTCCAGCCATTACCCTCAGGTTATCCAAGATGTAGATGAGTTTGTTTCTTCATCAGAATAGATTTGGAGAAATTTAGCATTACATCACTTGCTCACCAATGGATCCTCTGCAGTGAATGGGTGCCGTCAGAATGAGAGTCCAAACAGCTGATAAAAACATCACATGCTGCGTGTTTGTAATAAACTAATTAATCATTAAGGCATTTTAACTTTAAACCATCGCTTCTGGCCAAAATACAAGTCCCCAATCCATAATAATGGATCATTAATAGTGCTGGTCAATTTTGGACTGTTTTCGCTTATAAACTGTGCTTGATATGTGCATATTACTCTCCTGATTCAGACAAAACAATTTTTTTCACTGGAGAAAGCAATTTTATTGATAAGAGTCATACTGTAGCAGGAAGCAACAGTTTAAAGTAAAAAACATCTTGATGAATTTGTTTCTTACAAACACTTTTCGCTTCACAATACGTTCATTGATGGATTGGACTGGTGTGGATTATTGTGATGTTTTTATCAGCTGTTTGGACTCTCATTCTGACGGCACCCATTCACTGCAGAGGATCCATTGGTGAGCAAGTGATGTAATGCTAAATTTCTCCAAATCTGTTCCAGTAAAGAAACAAACTCATCTACATCTTGGATGGCTTTAGGGTGAGTTAATTTTCACCAAATTTCCTTTAAATTATTAATAGATTTATATATAAAAAAAAGTATTGATTCTTTCCAAGTTAAAATTCTCAAATACTAACTGATTTGATATTTTGGTATTTGGTACCTTTATCCCAGCTTATTCATGGAGCAAGCCAGTTGCATTTTAGACACAATTTATGCAACAAAAATGAAGAACGTCTTACCTCTACAAAACTATTTGTGATTAAATGCTGATACTTCAACTTCACTTTAGAATCTGTGATCAGTCGCCTACAAAAGAACCCATGAAATATCTTTAAAAGATTATCTAAAAAAATACAGAGCAAAAATCTTAAAATAAACAAGTTAAATTACCCAAAGCACTTACATTACAGTGTTATCGTCAACCAAAATATCACAGTTGTGAGCAGGACATGAGATGGTCTGGAAAAACAAAAGCAAAAGTAAATAGAGTTTCAAGTAGCAATTATCAAGGCCAAGCACTACAGAAGCAAGAAAGGCAGCAAGCATCAGACCAACTGTTGCAATGAGTAACTGAAGCCATTTTAAGATGATTTTAGTCAAAATGACTGAAAAATCATAAATACAACCACTAGTAATATGATTTAATGGCTTATCATTTTTGACCAATAGGTGACGCTGTCATCCAATCGATATGATGTGTTCTGTGTGAGGCGACAATGGCACACACAAAGTTTGGTGTCAATACCAGCAGCTATCACTCTGCAGCTCTCATCTGGTTGCCCACTGAAGCTAAGCAGGGTTGAGCCTGGTCAGTACCTGGATGGGAGACCTCCTGGGAAAACTAGGTTGCTGCTGGAAGAGGTGCTAGTGAGGCCAGCAGGGGGTAACTCAACCTGTGGTCTGTGTGGGACCTAGCGCCCCAGTATATTGACGGGGACACTATACTGTCAAAAAAGCACCGTCCTTCGGATGAGACATTAAACTGAGGTCCTGACTCTCTGTGGTCATTAAAAATCCAAGGATGTCTTTCGAAAAGAGGTGTGACCTCGGCATCCTGGCCAGATTTGCCCATTGCCCTCTGACCATCAAGGCCTCCTAATCATCCCCATATAATGATTGGCTTCATCACTGCCATCGCATCATCCAGGTGGATGCTGCACACTGGTGGTGGATGAGGAGATCCCCCCTCATAATGCAAAGCGCTTAGAGTTCTTAGAAAAGCGCTATATATAAATGTAATGAATTAATATGTCAAAGCTTTGCGGAGATACAGCCTCAGAGTTATTTTGGCATCATGCCTCAAATTTGTTGAGGTGCTATACAAAAATGGTTTTGTCTATTGACACGAGATCCGAAACTTTTTGTCAGCACAGTCTGAAGATGATCTGACTCAAATTTGGTGAAAATCAGACAAACGGTTTAGGAGGAGTTAGAAAAAGTAGGTTTTTAAAGAGAATCAAAATGGCGGACAGGAAGTTCGGCCAAATATGGCAAAATTGTTCTATGTTCATGGCATGACCTAAGAAATATTTTGAGACCTAATTTAATCAAGAGTTATTAGCATTTCATTATTAATGGTTAATAGCTTCATATGAATGGTTTATCACTTTTGACCAAAAGGTGGCGCTGTTACCAAATTGATGTGACATGGCCAGTGTGAGGTGACACAATGCATGCTATTCTAGAAGGTTCGACTAATCTACTTGAATTCCATAATTTTTTGCCAGCATGGTCTGAAGATAATCTGAAAACCAGACAAACTGTCTACAGTAGGACAAGTAAAAAAAAAAAGTACGTTTTTCAAACTTTTAAAAATCTTGACCCACAGAAATTTTTATTTTGGTGTCCATTTGACTTGGCATGAACCACAGAATCAGAGGGAAAAAGTCTAAAATTTACGGTTCAAAAGTTATTAGCATAAACATGAGTGCAAATTTTAACTATTGGCGGCGCTAGAGGGTTTGAGATAGAGACTACAAACTTACCATGGCTAATGTTTAGACTGTCCTCTATCTGTGTGCCAAATTTCATACCTTTCCCACAAGCGGTTCTATGGGCTGCCATTGAGCGGAATAATAATAAGAAGAAGAAGAAGAAGAACGCCAACGGATACAATAGGTGCCATCGCACCCTAATAACCAAAATGTAGGTTTTTAAAGAGAATCAAAATGGCGGACAGGAAGTTCGGCCAAATATGGCAAAATTGTTCTATGTTCATGGCATGACCTAAGAAATATTTTGAGACCTAATTTAATCAAGAGTTATTAGCATTTCATTATTAATGGTTAATAGCTTCATATGAATGGTTTATCACTTTTGACCAAAAGGTGGCGCTGTTACCAAATTGATGTGACATGGCCAGTGTGAGGTGACACAATGCATGCTATTCTAGAAGGTTCGACTAATCTACTTGAATTCCATAATTTTTTGCCAGCATGGTCTGAAGATAATCTGAAAACCAGACAAACTGTCTACAGTAGGACAAGTAAAAAAAAAAAGTACGTTTTTCAAACTTTTAAAAATCTTGACCCACAGAAATTTTTATTTTGGTGTCCATTTGACTTGGCATGAACCACAGAATCAGAGGGAAAAAGTCTAAAATTTACGGTTCAAAAGTTATTAGCATAAACATGAGTGCAAATTTTAACTATTGGCGGCGCTAGAGGGTTTGAGATAGAGATTACAAACTTACCATGGCTAATGTTTAGACTGTCCTCTCTCTGTGTGCCAAATTTCATACCTTTCCCACAAGCGGTTCTATGGGCTGCCATTGAGCGGAATAATAATAATAATAAGAACGCCAACGGATACAATAGGTGCCATCGCACCCTAATAACCGAAATTAAGTTGAGGATGCGATTGTAACATCAGATAGCAATGAGCTGAACAGGAACCCACCTGTCCCATGCCTTCCTCAATGATTTTGGAGGTTAAGTAGTCGCCCCAGCACTGCGTGCAGAACTTGTGTCCACATTCAAGACCTGTGAAATACTAGGAAAGGAAAACACATTCCTACAGAATAAGTCATCAAGTTGTGCAAACTGAGTCACTTCAATGGACTTCAGTTTTGTTATCACAGTTTTGTTATCGCCTTTCTAAGGAACTGATGAAGATTTAGGAGCAGTAGTGAACAAGATGACATTTGGCTTTAACTGGGAGACACTGACCGAGTTCGGAAAGTTGAGATAGCAGATCTGGCAGGGCATATCCTGACTGGAGGAGCGTGTGCTCATTGGTCGCGGTTTGGGCTTTTTACTGGGGTTTATGACGTGGCACTCTGAAAACAACTTGTCCAGATTTCCATCAAAGTACCTGCAACACCATTTAAATGTTGCTCTTTCAAACAGCACACAGACCAATTGTAAATGTTTATTCATACTTCTTATCACAATGTCCTTTAACCGAGCTATGCAAATCTTTTATGGCAATGTTAAAATAAATAAATATAGTAAAATAAATACAGAAAATAACTTGCCTCTCCATGAGCTTCTCTTTGTCCCAGTTGAAGTGACTGAGGAGTATTCTAGTTATCGTAGCTGGGTTCTGAAAAAGACACAACAACCAGTGACAGGTCCAGTTAAACCAAAGTCCCTTTCAATTAGGGCTGCACAATTAATCGAATTTCTAATCGCAATTACAATTATGGATGCCACAATTACGTAATCGTTCAAAGCGGCAATTAATCATTCAATGTCCAATTATGTTATTCTGCACGCTTAAGAAATGTTTTTTTCTTTCTACATGTTATATTAAGGGATTTTCAATTGCTTTAGTATAACATTATAATACCATTCATATTTTTACTTTTTTATCATTTAAAGAAGAAACCAATCCGATGTATATTTGACATTTGAGACTTAATACTATAGAAAAGCACTAAAGGTTTTTCAGTTAAGTTAAGTGTTTTCAGCTTGTTTATTTTCATATAAAAATACGGCAAGCAGTTGCATCAAACAATGGTATAAACATCATTCAATGTAAATTGTGATAATCGTAATTAATAAATCGCAACTACAATTTCAAGGGAATAATCGACAATTATGATTTTTGTCATAATCGTGCAGCCCTACTTTCAATGAAAGTCTGTTTACTCTGCAGCCATATTGGCAATGCCTCTGGCAGCTATTTTGGGCATCCAAGTCTTATCTGACTGAATGGGGAAATCCTGAAATCTCAAAAACTGCTTGCCACATTCACATTAAAATATAGACATGAACTGTCCCATAAATGCTGTTTCTTATGCACATATAAAAAATTTTAAAAATTACATTTCAGGTTGGTTTCTATAGCGATGATTTTACCAATTGGTGATTGGCTCTTTTATTTAGAAGACAGAAATGATTACGCCATATAGCATATTGCACCTTCTCACATTCATAAGTAATATGAGTGCATCATCTTTGCATATCTGAAGTCTCTGGTTAAATCTTGTTTCAGTTTATTTTGATATGATTAGCATTAATCTGGCAGACTTTTTGGACTTTTATAAAGGTCTTTTCTGTTGTGTTTATAAGGTACTAGGCTAATACAGTTGGCGCTTTTGAGTTAGAAATAATAGCTGGATCTATCAAATTTTAAGAGATTTTTAACAACAAATCACTGAAAGATATTAAGAGATATAAAGATTAAAAAGAGTTTTGTTAGAGGAGCTTGGTTAGAAGAAACCCAGATTTATCTGCACTTATTACTCTTGATACAAAATTCCCAGGCATTCCTTGTACAGCATTTCACAGACAGTCTAGTTATTATTTTTACACACTGAAAAAATTGGTGTAGTTTTCACTCAGAAATTGCTAGCAATTTTTTTAAAGACTTAAACCGCATTTTCTTGTCAAATTTACTCCAATAATCTTGGTTTTATTTACAAATTTGAAAAAACACTTTAATTATTAAATATTTATACATTTTAATTTTAAATCATTTTTATTACTGTGGTATAATATATTTCACATAAACCACTAAATAGGCTTAAAAAAAACCGCAGCTTTGCACAGATGGTCTTTTCCTGTCTAAGTGGGTGGTTCTTGGGCAGGATAAGCTGCAAAGTGAAATAAACTGTTATATCAATCATCTGGCACGACAAGATTAGGTTTTAACCACTTGACTTCTTACAAATTAAAAGGCTAAGCTATTTGTCTGTCAAGCTATTTACCATTCAAATGTAATGCTGACACTAAATGTGTGCCCATCCAAAGCACACATTTGAATAATTTAACTAATATACACACTTTATTTTTATTACTGTCCCACTATTAAGACTTTAACAGCTCAACTTATGGAGGATATAAGAAATCAAGGAAGACTGTCTAGTATTATAAAGATTGATTTGGTGATACTTCGAGGTTTTTCATAAGCTATACAAATCGATAAGTATCTTAACTTCATGCATGCTTGACATGTTGAATTTTGTATAACAATATGTTTGCCAACAACTAATGCAGATTCATGTAGCAGCTTTCTTTTCCCATGAACAAATTAAAGCTCATGAAGTCTTCCCATATTCCTGATCTAAACACTCACAAAATACACAACAGACACCCACGGTTCAAATACACATTTATAATTTTTCTCCAAAGTTTTCTAATCGTCACTAAAACTGCGATGCTAGTTTGCTTGATAGATTTGCTTTTGTTGAGCTGAGATGTTGTCAACCCAGAAAAATAACTTTAGAGGGTTTTGTGCTGGTGTTTGGAGAACCAAACATGTTTCATGCTTAAAACTGTCAAATTTTAAACAAATGTGAAATGTAGCATTAGCTGCAGTGACAGCCCTAAACTTAAGTCTGCAACCAAAAACATAAAACACAGTAACACACTGCCATTTGACTCGCTTTTATGAATGATACGTTTAGATATCACTCACAAAAGCGGTCAAATAAAGTTCAGTCTCTGTAAACCGGGTCGCGCTTGCGGAACTAGCTATATCTAGCTGACAAAAAAATCACTTAAATAACACCAAAACACAAGGCACCAAAACACAAACATAAAAAAACCCATAAGATTAACAAATAAACGGTTTATTTCGCATCATTCGTCCTGTCCTATCAGTTAGCCGCTAATGCTAAATGCTAACAGCGCCAGTTCTCCATATAAACAAACTTCCAGAAACGGATTATCAACCTGTATGACCTCGTTGACCTCCCTGATGCACTCCACCATGTGCTGGAGGATCTGCTCGGTGGTCAGCACCTCGAAGCGGTAGTCCTCATCATCATGGCCGGGCCCCAGGCCGCCGCCGCCAGTGTCAACGCAGTCGTCGGGCTCTCCTCCGGCCACGGCGGGGTCCAGCAGCTCCACCTCGCCCAGGTCCTCATCCTCGGCCTCCTCTTCCCCGCTGTCCTCGCTGCACTCCTCCTCCTCTTCCTCCTCCTCCTCTTCATCATCAAACTCATAGTTATAGCCCTCGTCCGAGTCCATGTCTCAGTGTTGTAGGGTGAATGTGATGAAGTGTGTGTGTGTGTGTTTAAGTGTGTGTGAGTGTGTTGCTGCTGTTTGACCTGCGCTTTACTGACTGAGCGGATCCTCATTACAGACCCGCCGCATCACTGCTACGTCACTCTCTGCGGTTACCCAACACAGAAAACATCCTCACATAAAGCTATAAAGTACGGTGGCCGAGAAGTGCGAAGCAAATCACAATTCTGAAAACAAAATAACAAATTACAAACGCAAATGCAAGTCTAAAAAACAAATAACAATTCAGAAAGCACAACAACAATTCAGAAAACATTACAAGTCAGAAAACACAAGGACAAATCAGACAAACCGGAAAAGGTAGGTATAGTTTGAGACATCTGTCAATCAACGTATACAGGGAAGAACCAGCCGAAGAACAGCAGAGTTGTGGTAGAAAGTTCGGAGATGGTATTAAAGTAGCTCAGTTTAAATGTATTGTATGAATTGTCCTTACTCTGGAATAAAAAAATAGGGGGTGTCTATTTATATTTAGTTAAAAGTGGCTGTAAATCATCAGCTCCAATGGCACAGATGGATAAGCGCTTGTTGTTGGCTTTTTGACGCGATAGACCAGGTTTTCAGAATTGTGATTTGCTTCGCACTTCTCGGCCACCGTAATAAGGACTGTTAGGATTTGCTCTGCCTTTGATCTCTTCGTGTAATCATGTTTAGATGATGGCCCTCTTATCTTTATTTTTATTTTATTCTTTTTGTGATTTGTTTCCATTTTATTTTTGTGGTTGATATTATGTGATTTATGCTTATTCCTTGTATGTTTCCGTTCTCTGCAATAAAAAAAAAAAAAACATCCTCACATTTAAATATAGAGAATATTATTCTGTAATAAACGCCATTCCCACAGGTTTATTGATGTTAATGAGAAGCCATATGTTGTCCCTTAACATTTGTAGAATTGAACCCGTTCTTAATTTAAATGGGGTGGACATTAACAGTAAAAAATGCACAAATAAATTTATTAGAAATCTATTTTATGAAAAGAGATCTATTAAGCCTAGAGGGAAATTTTTCTGGAACATTTGTTTTCCAGAGATTATTTGGAAAAAAAGCTTGGCTTCTTCCCTTTCGTTTTGTATATCTAACAAACTTCGGGAAATACATCTGAAAGTACTTCATAATATTTATGTTAGTAACTATACTTTATCAAAATTTATGGATATTGATGAAAAATGTTCATTTTGTTCAGATCAGCCAGAAAGAATTCAACATCTTTTTTTTTTTAATGTTACCATTCCAAAAAAATTCTGGGAAGATTTATCTATATATATTCAACAGAAATCTGGTTATAATTGTGAATTAATATCCAAAGATGTTATCTTATATTTTGAATCAAAAAATGCATCTGTCAATTTTATGATGGATCTAATGATTTTATTTGGTAAATTTATTTTTTCTTTAAGTATTATTATTGATTTTTATTTATTTATTGATTTTTTTTCTTTCTATGTAATGTAAACCCATTCCTTTAATTGTGTTATCTTTTTGGATGTCTTGTTAAAGTTGTAAATGTTGCATGTTATGTCTTTAATGTCTAATAAAATAAAAAAATAAAAAATAAAAATAAAACATCCTCACATACTGATATTTTATCTACCCCGTTAACTGATCACAAAGCAATACGAATCCATATTGATTTACTGCCAATGTCGTCTTCTAAAATGATAATTCCTATTGGAAACTTAATAGCTCTGTACTTAAGCCCTTTAAGTTTGAATTGGGCAAGTTTTTCAGAAGTTATTGTAGTAAAATTGCTAAACTCAAAAGAGCACAAGAAGAGAACATAATTTCCACCATTGCATACCTATCATCCAATGCACTGATAGCTTATCTGTGGAGGAAATTAATAGTCTTTTCAAGCATCAGCACAAATTGGATGAACTTTATAAATTAAAAGCTGCAGGTGCTTTTGTAAGGTCCAGAAGACGCTGGCTTGAAGAAGGAGAACAAAATACGGCTTACTTTTTTAGGTTGGAAAAATCTCTAACTAAAAATAATATTCATCAGTTGAAAATCGGTAACTCTATCTCTGAAGACCCAAAAGAAATTGCCAAACATTGTTCTGAATTCTATAAGAATCTTTATAGCAGTCAATTCTGTTATGACAGCACTATATCCTTTATGGACTCTATAGACAATATTAATTATATTAGTGCTCCTGACAAAGATTTTTGTGATCGTCCCATCACATTAGCTGAGGTCCTTGAATCAATCAAATATTTAAAAGTTAATAAATCGCCAGGCATAGACGGCCTTACTTCGGAATTTTACCAAAAATGTGCAAAAGATGCAAAGATGCTTTTTTATTAGAAGTTATATATGAAAGCATTAGGGTGGAATCTCTCCCACTTACCCTAACTCAAAGTTTAATAACTCTCATCCCCAAGCCTAAAAAAAGACTTATTACTAATAGACAATTGGTGTCCAATCAGTCTTTTAAATTGTGATTATAAAATTCTTGCTGCAATCTTTGCAAAACGTTTAAAAATTATTTTACAGGACATAATAGATGAAACACAATCAGGCTTTCTAAAAAACAGACACATTTCAAATAATATTCGGTAGGTTCTCGATCTGTAGACTATTCAGAGTTAGTGAAGGATGACAGTTATATGCTTTTTCTGGACTTTTACAAAGCCTTTGATTCTACAGAACATTGTTTTATATTTAAAATTTTAGAAAAATTTGGTTTCGGGGACTTCATTAAAACTGTTAAAACTTTGTATGCTCATGGTAACTGTTCAATTAAGCTTAAGTATGGTACCTCTCCAAGATTTGATCTGGAAAGGGGAATATGTCAGGGATGCCCCATTTCACCATATTTGTTTATATTGACTACTCAATTATTTGCCAATCACATTAAGAATAGTACCTTGCTTAGTATCATGGGAAGGGAGATCATCATCAACCAATTGGCTGATGATACTGCGCTTTTCCTAAAAAATTCAGACCAGCTTCCTTTAGCTCTTAATACTATTAAAATGTTCTCCAATGCTTCTGCGCTTCTTCTTAATGTGCACAAATGTGAATTGATGCCAGTTAAGCAACTCTCTGTTTCCAGTATTTGTAATATCCAAGTCAAAGAGGCAATAACCTACCTTGGAATAGTAATATCCAAAAATCCAAAACTTAGATGTGATTTCAACTTCTTGCCTATCTTAGAGAAAACTAAAAGAAAACTCAATCAGTGGCTTCAGAGAGACTTGTCTCTAAAAGGAAGGATTCTCCTTTCCAATGCAGAAGGCATTTCACGTCTAACATTTGCAGCCATCTCTTTAGAACCTGGGAAAAATAAGACACATTACGTCAAAAAATCTGTTCTATCCAACAGCTACTGTAACAGAGGTCTTAATTTGGTTGATTTTGCAACGTTCAATAATACCTTTAAAATTAACTAGTTGAGGAATTACTTGAAAAATCCATCCAGTATTTGGAATGTTATACCAGATTATATCTTTTCACAGTTGGGAGGTTTGAATTTTCTATTATTATGTAACTAGAAGATCCCTGTTGCTCTCTCTAATTTCCATAAACAAGCACTTTTGGCATGGTCTATGATTTTCAAACACAATTTTTCTCCAACTACTTACTTCATTTGGAATAATAAGAATATCTGTTATAAACATAACTTCCTATTTTTTGAAAACTGGTTTAAGAATGGTATCAATCGGGTTAGTCAGTTATTTCATCAGAATGGTTACTTGTTTACTTATCAAGAATTTCTTTCTCACTATAAGTTTCCTGTTACTCCAAAACAGTTTGCCACTGTATTTGGTGCTATGGTGCCGAATGATGTAATTATGTTATTTAAGGGCTATAACAGTGCTTTGACAAGTTCTGAAATGCCTCTCTCAGACCCCGTTGACACGTATGTAGGTGGGATATGTTTTAAATCTACATTGAAAAATAACAGAAATATTCACTCTCTTTTTCTTAATGATTGTGTTTCCCCTCCTCGTGCTATTTCAAAATGGAATAGATCAGTGAAAAATATTTTGTGGAAAAAGGTTTGGACGCTTCCTAACAAGTATTTATTGGTAAATAAGGTTAAAGAGATTTCTTTTAAGCTTATTCATCAGTACTATCCTGTTAAAACATTTATTGTGTCGAAATTCAAATTAAACATAGAAGTGAACTGTACTTTTTGTGACTCGCAACCAGACTGTCCTGCATCTTTTTTGGCATTGTGTTCATACAAGAAAACATTGGCAAGACATTTGTCAGTTCATTGTAAACTTCATACACAATGACTTTGAGCTTTTCTTTAAAGGGGTCATTTGATGCTGCTAAAAGGAACATTATTTGGTGTATTTGGTGTAATGAAATCTGTTTATGCGGTTTAAGGTTAAAAAAACACATTATTTTCCACATACTGTACATTATTGTTTCTCCTCTATGCCCCGCCTTTCTGAAACGCGTCGATTTTTACAAAGCTCATCGGTCTGAAAAGCGAGGTGTGCTCTGATTGGCCAGCTATCCAGTGCGTTGTGATTGGCCGAATACCTCAAGCGTGTGATGGAATGTTACGCCCCTTACCATACTGTGATGCCTTGTCCGGCCGGAGCGACCAGACAAAAACATGAAAACCCATTATAAATGAGGCATTTTTGCATTCAGTGGGGACATAATTACTGATTATTATGACTTATTACTGGTTTAAGAATGGTATCAATCGGGTTAGTCAATTATTTCATCAGAATGGTTACTTGTTTACTTATCAAGAATTTCTTTCTCACTATAAGTTTCCTGTTACTCCAAAACAGTTTGCCACTGTATTTGGTGCTATCCCGAATGGTGTAATTATGTTATTTAAGGGCTATAACAGTGCTTTGATAAGTTCTGAAATGCCTCTCCCAGACCCAGTTGACACATATGTAGGTGGGATATGTTTTAAATCTACATTGAAAAATAACAGAAATATTCGCTTTCTTTTTCTTAATGATTGTGTTTCCACTCCTCATGCTATTTCAAAATGGAATAGATCAGTGAAAAATATTTTGTGGAAAAAGGTTTGGACGCTTCCTAACAAGTATTTATTGGTAAATAAGGTTAAAGAGATTTCTTTTAAGCTTATTCATCA